GAGTACTTTGTCAAGTGATTGTAGCTCCTATAATCCATCCATAAAAAAGTTAATAACACTAAAGTTTTTGCATCTACTTTTGGTCAAACTTTTCAAAACTGTTTATGTTAAAGGACTTTATGAAGATATTTGTACTAGAGATTAGAAATTGTGGTGTTTTTTTATCAAACAATGATAAACTATTTTTCTTTTTAAATAAGCTGATATGACCAAAGATATTTCTTATGAATTTACTCATGTCTCATATATTTATTAGTTGACCTAATAAAACATTTACTAATTTTAAGTCAAAAGTATGTTTGTCTATGACATTTTATTAACCTATTAAGAAAGTAGAGAAGACCTTCCAGCTGAAAATGCATTATTCTGTTATGACAAATATCAGAGAGATCAATTGTGGTGGGTTAAGTTTGTCTGGTAATAACATTTGCAATTGGATATTTAATTCATATGTTTTATTTCACTATCTGTAATTCAACTTTCATGAGTTTACCAACGTTTCAGAAAAAGATTGCAGAATTCTTGCGAATATATACCTTTTAACAACTATTGCCATTTGCATTATCATTATACACTTACGCTATAGTGAAAATAAACATATATATACATATATATATATATATATATATATATATATATATATATATATATATATATATATATATATATATATATATATATATATATATATATATATATATATATATATATATATATATATATATATATATATAATATATATATATATATATATAGCAAATTTATAAGAAATTATAATAATATTTAAACTTTATTATTTACAATAATATTTAAAATATCAAAATAATGATAATATTTAACAAATAATAATTTTAGATAGTTTAAGATTTTTTTTTAACTTAAATATTTATTTTAAAATTGAAAAAGGATACATGTAATTGGCGTCTGAAAATCTTCCAAACACACTCTGCACGATATATGTCCAACGTTTCGTTGCTTATCCCTATTCATATTTGTCTTATATTTTATTTTTCATACTACTTTTTCCCCTCACAGATAATAAAAGGGAATAAAAATAAAAACAATTTTATTAAGTTTTGCAGTAATAAAATTACACTTTAAACGAAAAGCTTACATTTTAACATCGCAAGATTTTTCGTGATTACAAAATGGACAGTTAAATTGATTCTCTAAAGTTCCGAGGATTTTTTTTTTCTGTGGAGCTTTTCGTTTGGCTCTTCTTCTACCCATTTTCTTACAGATATATAGTTATAGTCTTTCTTTAAGATATTTTTAAAACAGAGATTATTAGTCTTTCGTCGTTGTAAGTGCGTGTTGATCGACTTCGTGTCACACACACGAAAGCGAATAAATTTGTCCTATAATTAATTTCCGCGACTTACTCCCGAAGACTTCGGAACTTCAAATCTATTCATGTCAGGGTAATTCCATGTCAAAACAACAAGTTGAAATAACCCACCATCTCAGAAATACTTGATTTTTGGCACAAATGCAGTTAATAATGTTGTTAGTAATAATCATAAATAATTTGGTATCAATTTCATTTTTTTAAGAGTTATGGGTCTTTGAAGTTTAAGAATTTTAAAATTTTTTTATTCTCCGCTCTCTTAGCAACGTCTATAGCAACACTAAAATGTTAAAGTATACACAGTTACATTAACCATTCGTTTACAAAATTTAATAGGTATAGAAACTTTTGAATAAAGAAATCAAAAATCATTACTTAAAGTTATTAGATCTTATATTTGATTAAAAACTTTGCAATGCAAACCGGGTTTTTAACAAAAAATTTTTAGTAAACATGTCTAGTTTAAGACTAATTGCAGAAAAGGTATTGATCTATTTAAATCTATTATCACTTTAAATCTTTACAAAAATAGTTTATATATAAATGCCTGTAAGAGGTAAAAATTATTTCATTGTTTTTTGATGCACATATCTATTTTATTATTGTTTTATTTTTGCAATTTTATTTTTGCATTTTTATTTACCGTTTTGGTTATAATCTCCATTTAAAGATTATAAATAAAATAATCTCTCACACAAAAAAAAATGATTTCTCACATAAGTATTATACTCAAATGTTAGAACCAGTTGCTCCGTTTAATTAATTAAACTACAAACCCAGAAATTCATTTTTATTTTAAACTAAATAAGTGCAATCATATGATTACACTTATTTAGTTTAAAATAAAAATGAATTTCTGATTTCTTCTTGTATTAATTAAATGGAGCAATTGATTCTAACATTTAAATTTTGATTATAATACTCATGCGAGAATTTATTATTTATTTAATAATAGTTTTAGAAAAATAAAATATTAAAATTAAATATTTTTATAATGGATGGAACATCACAATGCTCAGTTGGATTGATTTTAAAATCAAATTGTCCCAAGTTAACATTTACAAACCACATTGGAATAAACTTTTTTTAAGATTTAGCTCCAGATGAGCAAAATTTAGTTGCGCTAAGGTCTTCTGTTTTGATTATTGACTTATTTTATGTTTCTTCTGTTTTGATTATTGACTTATTTTATGTTTCTTCTGTTTTGATTATTGACTTATGTTTTCATCATCAAAATTTCTATCTTGAGAAGTTCCCTGTGTTTCAGAATAAATGCTGTGATCCACTGTTAGTTCACAAAAGACCGTGCAAAGGTTAGTAAAGCTTGTCATAAATTTTATAATAGTAAATTTGTCATAATTTTAAGTTCTTTATTTTTGTTAATAGTAGGCACATTTTACTTTATTAAGTTATATTTTTTAATTTAGCATCTCTCAGAGAAGTCACGTTAAGAATCATAGCTTTAAACAACAGGATCAATATTGTACCTGGTCAAAAAATTTGCACAAATTGCTTAGTCAGATTAAAAGCTTCCACTGAAATTAATACTGATAACATTAATATTGCTGATGATTACACAAATGAAAGTATAAATAAAGAAAACATATTTAGTGTTCAACAAGAAGCTGATATAAATAAAAACAGACAAGAACTTGATTGTCTCAGTATAATTGGTGTGTCACCAGTCAAGCTTTACGGAAAGCCATTTGCAAATCGTATGAGTATTGGGAAAAAAAAAATTAAAACTATTGCAAAAGTTTTCAAAGAAAAGTTATCAAGTTCTTTAAAAATTCCATTGACAGAAGTTGAAGTTTTTGATAATGAATATGTTCTTGATTTAAAAAAAAAAGTTGTTCAGTTCGAAAAAATGTTAGTTTTGATCAAAGATAAACTTGAAAAATGCAGTTCATTTAGGGACAAAATTCAAGTATTGACTTTGTGCCCACAAGAATGGTCAATTAAAGCAACTAGTTAGTATTTTAGTGTTTCAAATTATCTAATAATAAAATCTAGATCTTTAGCAAAGAAGGAAGGAGTTCTTGCAGTTCCACAAACTAAGCAAGGTAAAATGCTCCCTAATCAAATAAATACTTTAGTGAAAATTTTTTATGAAAATGATGAAAACTCTCGCCAGATGCCTGGTCAAAAGGATTTTGTAAGTGTTAGTTGGAAAGTCCATATGCAAAAGCGATTACTTTTGTCAAGCTTAAAAGAGTTATTTGTCTCATTTAAAATTCTATATCCACATGTAAAGTTAGGTTTTTCCAAGTTTTGTGTTTTAAGACCTAAATGGTGTGTTTTGCCAAACTCATCAGGAACCCATTCTGTGTGCGTTTGTATCTACCATCAAAACATGAAGTTAATTCTCCTACCCATTAAAATTGATTACCACGAACTATATAAATTTATTGTTTGTGATGTGCAAAACAAAGAATGCATGTTACATCGATGTACACCATCGATGTAACATTCATTCCGAAAAATACATCTAAATTAGAAGAAAAGCTATTCAAACTAATAGGGCAGTTTGAGGAAGAAGATACTATCGAATTTAACCAATGGATTACTACTGATAGATCAGATTTAGTTATACAGCTTGTAACCATACCAGATTATATAAATATGGTGATGGAAAAACTAGTCAAGCTAACAACGCATTCATATATTTCTAAATGCCAATCTAAATATTTAAAAAATCTTAAAGAAGAACTGCCATCAGGTAGCGCAATAATTCTAGGAGATTTTGCAGAAAACTATAGTTTTATTGTGCAGGATGAAGTACAAGGTTTCCATTGGAATAATCTTCAATGCACACTTCATCCAGTGGTTGTGTACTATAAAGAAAATCAAGTGTTGCATTCCACTTCATATTGTATTATATCAGATGATAACACTCATGATGTACCAATGGTTTACGAGGTACAAAAATCAATTATCAATAATCTGAAGCAAAAAATACCCAGCATTGTAAACGTGGTCTACTTTTCTGATGGCTGTTCATCTTAATATAAAAACTGCAAAAATATATTTAACCTATGTCAGCATAAATCAGACTTTGGAATAGATGCAAAATGGGTTTTCTTTGCAACCAGCCATGGAAAGCAACCTTGTGATGGTATAGGAGGAACAGTTAAACAGCTTGTAGCTAATGCTAGTTTGCAGAGAATTTCTACAAATCAAATATTAAACTCACGTGATATGTTTACATATTGCACTAACAACATCAAAGGTATAAACTTTATTTTTATTTCAAGTGAAAGTTTGAGTAGAAACAAGATTATTACAATCTGAACGATTTAAAAATGTAAAAACAATACCAGCGAACAAGAGACTTTCATGAATTTATTCCTGTATGTCATAATGAAGTTAAGATGAAATACTGCAGGTGATGACACTATCCCTATCTTGACCTACAAGTTTAAAAATTGCGAGATGCAAAGTGATGTGCAAAGTTGACATGGAATTTTAATTTATGCACCAACATGGCCTTGAATCTTAAAGACATTTTCTTGCTTCCTTTTATCAATTATTACTTCGAATCAACAGTTTGCTTATGTCTATGATATGTAGATGACAATATTTTGCATTTATTAAAAAAATATTACCTAACTTTTGTTTTGTTTTACAGTCCAAAGAAAAACAAAGGAATATTTGAAGTTCAATAATTTGTATAAAAATTTATCAATTCATAAAAGCACAAACAATTCAAAGAGTTAATGCGTTTTGATATTTAAAGTTTATTTATGGACATGTCATGGATATTGCAGTTTTATACCTAAGTGAAAATACCTCTTATTTTTTGACTAGCTTCTAGTAAAAACACCTGTTTTTAGTATTTAAATATTTTTAATTGAGTTTATTAAATATGCATATTGTAGTTTTACACATAAGTAAGAATTCTTACTTTCTGGTTGTGCCTAAACATAAGTACCAATCAATCTTCTGTCTCAATCTCAATATACTTTCAATCAAAAATAAAAATTAAATTGTTTAGATTAGTAAGTCAAAAAACAGCTCAGTTTTTTTTTTTTTTTTTAGATGTTTATATATACTTTAAGATTATGAAGTTTGGAAATATATAGATCATAACCTTTTCTGTAATTCTTTTTATAGTAAGCATGTTTACTTTTCAATTTTATTAAAAACGCCAATTTACTCTTATTGACTTATTAATAAATAAATAAAAATATTATTTCTTGGTATAATTTTATAGTTTAGCATCTAATAATATGTGGAAAATTTCAAATTATAAAACAATATATTTAAGGTAACAACGTATGTATTACCATTTACTTGTTGCTAAGGACGTTGCTAGGGGAGCATCATGAGTAAAAATGTTACTAAGTTTTAAATTTTAAACGAGCATAACTTCTAAAATATTCCGATTTGTTTAAAACAACTTTGGGGAATTCTTTTTAGCCTAGTTAAGTATCTTTGTTGCAAAAATTGAGTCATTTAGAGATAGTGGGTTATTTTTTTGAATTTTTGTTGTTGTTTTGACACAGAATTACCCGTCATGGCGCTCTATACTGAAGGCCTATTCATCGCGCAACTGTAAGTCGTGACTGGGGGCCTATTTAAATATTCTAAAAAATTGCGAAGATGAAATGCTTGCATTGAAAAACTTGCTAGAGGATTTTTAACTTTTTCAAATTAATTTTGCTTATTCTTTTATATTTCCAATTTTTTTGTATTATTAATGTTTTTTAAATTATATTTAAAATTTTTCTAAATAATTTTAAAACACTGTATTTTTACTTACTTGTCAACTCTTTAGAGTGTTAGGAGTTGTTTAAAGTGTTGTGTATATGGCTGCAAAACTAATTATCAAAGTACCAAAAATAATAAAAGCTTTGAAAAAATATCAATTTATTGTTTTCCTAAAGATAAAGAACAAAGAAATACTTGGATAAAAAGTATTTCGAATTCTAATTTTTTAGTTTCAGATGAAACTGTTATTTGCCAATTACATTGGCCAACAATTTTTGAAAAAGTTACT